CCTCAAGGACAGCGGTGATCCCAGGGGTTTTTCCAGGGACGGTGGCGCCTCTAGGTACTTTCCAAGGGACCGTGATGCTCGCAGAGACCCTCTCAGGGTCGGCTGTGCTCCCAGAGGACCTGTCAGGGGCGCTGGATCCACCAGGGGCGCTCTTAGGGACAACGGCAATCCTTGGGGCTTTCTCAGGGAAGGCGACATTCTCAGGGGTTCCTCCAGAAACAGCCGAGTTTCCAATTTCTGTTTTATGGAGGGTTTTCTTTAATTAATAGGAATTTTCTAATTCTGTTAGTTAGGTTCACATTTTATACAAGTTCTTGTCTAATCCTATATGTTTCAGTCTTTATTAAGAGGTTGTGTCCAATTCTAGGAAGGGTTTCTAATTCTCCATGTTCATCCTACTTTGCGACAGGTTTTTAATTCAGTAACTTTATGTGTATTTCTATGAAGGGTTTCTCTAATTGTTTATGCAATTATTTCTATGGGAGTTTCTAATTCTATGGGCAGTCTTTAGTAAGAGAAGCTGCATGGCTATGGGATCTCCCTGGATATGGGATTTCAGGATAAATTTTACCATTTTTTAATTACAGATCACATGATCATCTAATTTCAACTGATGATTAAACACCCTAATGTTGCCTGGAAGATTACAGTGCAGTACAGTATTAGGTTAAGTTAGATTAGGTTTAGGGTGGTTAATCTTATGGGAATATTAGTGTGGAACTGCACTTCAAATGAGCCTTACAAAGTGAAGGTATTATAATAACAAAGTGATGAGGTTGGTTACACCATGGAAACACCAGAAACTGTGTATAATACAGCACTGGGTAAGAAAAACAATGTTTTGTATTAGTGTAAAGATATTTTATTTCACATCCTTACAGCATTAACGACTGTACAGTTTGTAGTAGTTGTTGACCAGATCCCACACACATTGTGGAGAAGTCCACACCCCATCTATGGGGGCCCAGACTTTGAGATCAATACATGTTTGATTTACACACATATTCAGAGTATTGTTATCATCATTACTCACAGGAAACATAACAAAAAAAATTGATAGGCATTAGAAAGTAATGTTTTCCTATAGTATGCTCATTCCAAATGTGACTTTTAATAACATTTAGGAAGCATTAGCAAAAATTACATACTTAGTACTGTACTCACAGAAAATATGACCCTATTTTACATTTGCATAGTCAAACTTTACCCCCCAGTGACAATAATCCTTTTCAAATACAGTATTTTATTTTTCTTCACTGGGGATTAAGAGTTTGATCTTTCAAATTCTTGAACAATATTTTCTGTGACTACGGATGATAAACATGAAATCAATATTTGTTTACACGTAACAAGTATCACATATGAAGGTCTGTGAGACAGATAAGAGCATCAGGATTTTGTTAGTAAGAATTTTAACAGTGCATCTGAATGAAGATTTTTTTTGTGTGAGGTTGTAGATAATGCAGAAAAAAGGAGTACAGCCTGTGGTTACCTTATGTGGAATGATGGCTTCATTGACCCCACGACCAGATCCCAACCATGAAAATCTCTGAAATTCTAATTTGACTTGGGATCTGGGGAGTGGAGTCAGTGGTAAAAGAGGAAGAGGGTTAAGGTGGTGAGAAATAATAAAAAGGAAGAGATAGAGAAGTGATAATTAAAGAGGAGAATAGAGGGATTGGGAACTCAATAATGTAATTATATAAAGAATTTGATATGAAAGGACCTGGAAAATATGGAAGAATGATGGGGCGAGTCATACTAAGAGTAGAATAGACTACCGTAATAACCCGCAATAAAAGCAATTTAAAAAGGTGGAGGAGGTGGGCAGAACAGAAAGGTGTGAAGTAAAAGCTGAGAAAGTGATTACCTGTTCGAAAATATCAGTAAAATATAACATGGGGGAAGGAAGTAGAGGTGTGGCTCTAGGGTGTGCAAGATTATGCATCACCCATGGTTGAATTATGAATAAAAATGAGTAATGATGCTGTTAAAATGAATTAAATGAGGATAAAATTCAGGTATGAGATTCCTACGAAGAGGACAGTGACACTGCAAGAGACATGAACATCCAATTTAAGCCTTATGAGTAGTGTACATACAGGTCATTCTCACGTCTACACCTATGGGATATAAACCTCATCCTGACATTGTCAAAAAAAATATCACTTTCACTCATGTTAGTCTTTTAGTGACTTGAAGGAATCAAAGTATACACTCATTGACTCCAGGTTTACCTGTGGGAAGTTGTGGATAAAGGACCCCAAACTACGTTAACTAAAAAGGTCCAAATTTTCGACTAGCCACTATAAGACCCACAGTCTCAGCCACCATCATACCACAGCGAGCAAGTGACTTCTTCCTTCCCATCAAGAGCGCAAGTTTCCAGACAAGTCAACCAAATCAGTAACTGTAATAGATATGACTTATAATAATCTTCAAGAGGCTTGAGTACAAGAGTAAGGCTATCTTTGTAATCCAGAACACATTAAACAAAGTATGAGATCAGTACTATTCAAGGTTCATCTGAGTTGATAATCTCTGACTCAAATTTACATACACACACACACTGCTAGTCTGGTGAGCTGACAATACAACTAAACCTACTCTGTCCTCTCTGACGCCTTCTTGGAATATTTATCCTGCTGCGCCATATTATTAATTATCCGTCATATGAAACAACGGCATTACATAGAAGAAGTTTTTAGCTTGTTTTTGGCGAGAGATGTGGTTGAATTTTGTTAAGCCATAAGCTGACCCAACAGTGTAAATGTGACTTTGAGTATAAAGGTGGTATTACACACAAGCTCCTTCTTTCTGACTAGATGATGCTTCCACACAAACAGTCATCACCAAAGCATCTGATTGTCTTCAGAAGCAGAGGTAAATTTATTCATACAACCACCATGAGTCAAATGCATTAGTATTTTCAAGTTTGATCAACATGGCACAACCTCATGTGAGTAATGTTGTTTCATAGACTAGATTCTAAGGTTGGTGGCAGTACAGTATTTCTAAAAGTTATCAAATAGTATACTTTTCTTACCTTATAGTGAAAGAAAAGAACACACAAGCACAGAACTCCATGTAAAGTTTGGTTCAATCATGCATGGTTCCATTATTCCTTTCACAAAACACATTGTGGAACTCTTGCCGCCAACCACTTCCAGATACCTTTTGAAATATACCAATTCATACAGCTATGAATTTTTCAATGAGGGGTAAATCAATAAATTAAAATATTCTACAGCTAACTTATGACTAGAAATAGTAATGATTCTAATTTACTATCCTTGCTAAAGTATATTGCTGTATCATCATGTTGGTACCATGACCATGTTGTTTCACATCTTAGTATTATATATAGACAAACTCAATGATGGTCAATATTTGTTTCCATCCAGATCAGACATTTTCATAACTGTTCTATTTTGGAAAACAAATTGAATAAATTAATTTTAAAATCAGTAAAAGTAAACAGTGATCTAAACAAAATTAGCTTTGGTTCAAGTTTGGTGACTGGATGTTCAATTCACGTGTCTTTACAAGAACTTTATAACATCTTTGTTTTAGAGGGTAAATTAAATATAGTCTGAACTAGATGGAAACAAGTGCCTTGTACATGGTTTTCAATACAGTATAACTAAAATGTATTAAACTCCAGGTGCGACTATTTTTGGAGGCTACTGAAATGGTAAAAAAATAATCCAAGAACTGTTATTTTTCACTGAGTTTCTGAACACTTAAATTTTTTATCTAGATATAAAAAATGCAAAACATATCCAGGCCAAAGGTTTGGTAAGATACAAAAACTGAGAGCTAAGGTAGTGTGCTGTGTTCCAACACTTTATTTAACAGTGAACTTTGGAATATGGGTATGTCTTGTAAAAATTAGTTTCTTGTGCATAATGTGTCATTTAATGAGGATAATATATCATAGTAACAGGTTCAGCCTCAAGATAATTATTTTGAAGTTTCAATTTTTTTTATGAAGGTCAGACATCATATATACTGTACAGTACGTGTATACTTAAATTTAATTTTTGTGAACTCAAATATAATTCTGGTCTTAATCAAGCACTGTGTGTTTGTATAAATCTATGATGCAATAATTTTGAGCACCTGCAAAAGTTTTTTTTACTTTTGAGACATTAAACCATGTCATTGTTGTAAGCTTACCATGTAACAAATGTCCCTAGTGTTTAAACCTGACCACACAGCAAACTCATCCAGCATTGTAACCTTACTACAACAAAGTAATCCAGCTGAAGGAATTTATCATGTCAATGTTTGTTAACTGTCAATGCTAAAACGATTCTTGGAAAATGTGGCACGTGGTAAACCCAGGGTAAGGATGGTGCCAGCTCTAAACACACTCACTCTCTCGCTATTTCTCTGTAGCAAGACTCGGCCCAACTTTTCCCAATTTCTAATTAAATATTTTCCTAACAAAATTCTGGTAGTGGGTATACAGTAGTAATTTCTTTGTTGATAGGACAGATAGGTGAATCAAATTTTGGAGGAGCTAAGTGAGGCGCTCTCATACTTTACACTGTTTTTACTACTGTACCTGAACTGACGTTTCTAGTCACAGAAATGAAGTACAGTATAATAAGTTTTTCACACAATAATTCATTACTGTAGTGTTGCAGAAAATACAGTACAGTACATTAAAACAGTAATAATGAATAGTCACTCTAAAAGCTATTTTTACAATTTTGTGTGAGACAATATGACAACTGATGAAGGATTTTGACAACCCTACCGAGACAACAGGAGCCGCAGTGTTCATTTTTAAATTCATCGGACTCCTCCATAAAGGTACCTTTTGGAGTGACTGGACAAGTAATCTAATATTTGCTAATCACAGTAACATAACAAAAATAGTATGCTGTACGTATATTATCTATGTATAAATTATACATTGTAAAGATAACAAACAAAAGAATATCTCCACTGAAAATATAAGTTTAACCAATTGTAAGCACGTGACTACTGTATTTACAAAGGTATCATTGTGGAAATTATGAGAAATGCACCTTTCTGCTTTCCTTCTTAGAACAAATTATTATGAATACTTTTACGAAGAAGTTATTTCAGGAGTTCAAACGCAGGAATACTGCTTTGGAACCTCTGTGTGTGTGTACCTGTATATTGCGTGTGTGTGTGCATTGTATATATGTAGTGTGTGTATTGAATGCGTACTATGTGTGTGTGTGTTGTGTAATAACTCTGGACAACTTGAATTAAACATATACTGTACCTACAAAAAGTCAGGTATGTCTGAAGACATATATTTCACTAGCACACCTGAATTTTTGTATTTTATAGTACAAGTTTAAGTTCAGCAGTTCATAGTTGACATAACACTCACTTTTCAGTCCACAGACACAAAATCATCTCTCTCTCTTTCTCTCTAATTTACCTTAGTGCACTCTTTGTCACCACAAAAGTAATGTTACTTTTACTGTTTTTACAATTTGAAATGCTGGACGAAATGCATTGATATATTCTCCAGTGCATCGCCATAGGTTGGTATGCCTGCTCCCCATCTTCAAATGCTGTATACTCAACACTGTACAGTATAGGATATCCACAGGTATAAAACTTAAATTACTGGTTATTTTGAAATTCTGTCAGTTCTCTGCACATAAATGTTGACAGATAATTTGATCCACATAGTACCAATACCTGTGGCAGACTGTAACCAACTGTTCTGAAACTAGTGGACTAACACTGCTCATAAAATCACGAACACATCGGCCCCATGGGTAGCAATACTATTTTGGGGTACTGTGGTACATTAGTTAGCTCCTTTAAATTATATACAGTATCTATAATTTTATGTTTATATGTAGTATAATGTACATGAAGGATCTATAGTTACACTTTAAACAAGGATACTGTACCTGTCTCCATATACTGTATACATACAGTAGTGGTTTAAATTAGGAATATATTTATCATCATCAAATTTCAAGTACAGAAGTGTAGTATAGTATAATGATTTCTTGTGATATATCGGTTGAGTCACTCTTCAGGAAAATATGAATCACTGGTCCGGGTTCTCAAAGGCTCACTCATTAGAATTTTCTCCTCAATTGTAATCATGTGTATCTAATTGTGTCACTTGAGTTTTGGCAGATAGATGCCAAGCAAATGATGACTAGAATGCACTGATACTCCACTACAATAAGTTACATTTGCTTATCCTTAGTTAGAGAAAAACATTTTGAATTTTCAAGAATCCAGACGTTGCCCAGAGAGAATAGATGTTAGAATATTTAAGCAACATTGAAATGACATTAGGAAATTTCTCAATGTTGGGTCCATGATGAAATGATGTAGAATGGCTACTGGGATCAATGTTAAGTCTTTCATCTGACTGTGACTGTAAGAGCATATCTAACTTGCTCACTTAAGCTGTGACTATAGAAGGTGGCCAAGATGTCGTCAGGTGTACAGAGTCTTCTTTTGAACCAGTAAGAGGTGAAGATTCAATTTAAGATTCTTCCAGATTTTAGAGGTCAAGATCCTCAAAGGTTTTAAGATGTATATTCATTACAATTAAAGCTGTAAGAATGCAACTAACTGGTTGACTTCTCAATAAAGTACAAAAAAGATCAAACCAAAATAACATCAGAAATACATCAAAAACACCTTTACTAGAAAGTTCAATCAGCACCAGATAAACTTTAGGTAAGGGATCTCTTTCAAACATTCCTGTACTGTACCATAATTTTGTCTTCTATATGGTGCCAGGTGAAGCATCGAAAGAAGAGTTCAGTGAAATTTTGATGCCAATTTTGTAAATTTTTATGTTTAACTAAGTGAATTCGTTAGGTATTTTCTCTCATTTTTACTTAAGAATATTAATTACAAGCCTTTGTGAACATGTACCCACATGTACATCTTTGAATTATCACCTCTTCTACCTAGAATCTCATTATAATATTGCTAAACAAAAAAGGATAAGGGGAACAGATGTCCCACTAGTGGCAGGTACAAAGATGCTGGGAACAATATACTGTACAACCAGAAACAAGTAAATCAGGATAAATTATGTGTTTGTGTCTCCTCAATTGTCTTTGATGATGTGGATCTTTAAAATCATGGTTCCATAAACATTAACACAGTTTGGAGTGTAGAAAACAGATTTAGAATTTCACATTAAACCAAAGTAAATAAAAGTTATACTGTATAAGCCTACATTATAAGTTGATCGTATTTATACCTGAATATTTTAGCAGGAGGTTGAGAAGATTGTGAATTTCAGAGAAAATAGAAACAATATCATTTTGGCACCAAATGAAACATTGAATGGTGTAAACAAAGACAGATTTTGTTGTTTATAGATTTGCTGTTTTTAGAATTAGGAACTGACAGTAACGGCCTCTAAACAGGAGGAACTTTTATAAAAATTACGTAATCTCAAAAAATAAAGTATAGAGGATAACTATGTCAGTAAAGTTTGCTTGAGGTAAGACATTATCTAACAAAACACAACCGAGTATAATATAATAATTTAATTTTCTCTTAGCTGGTAATAAATTTATAATGCAGTTCATGAGAAAAAGTTTTAATATGCTGCAACAGATCTAAATAGAGGTCACTTTCAACCTGTATGTCAGTTACCCACATTTATTAATACCTTGGATAAGATGACCCACTCCACGCTCAAGGAACAAAAGGTTATTGTACCCTGGCTGGTAGAGTCATCATACACAGGGTGCAGAAAGTTATCATACCTCAGTGCATCGAGCCATCATGCTCAAGGGGGGAAAAGTTATCATACTTGAGTTGAGTCATCATACTCAAGGGTTTAATAGAGGTAGAATACCCAGCACCTTCAGTTGTCAACAAGATGGCATCACATGTGTGAACATCCAGGTCTTTAATTCTGCCAACTTCTCAAAATTATTATTATTTTTTTTTTACATTTGTCTGTGCTCTAACCACAGCTGTTTTAACGGCACACTTCTGCCCTCATTCACACAACACTGACCTATACTAACTGACATCAGAACTGCAATAACTTTACATCATTCTGCCAGCATCTGTCTCTAATTTGCCAACACTTGTCTTCATTCTGTCAGCACATGTAGGCACTCTCAGTACATTATCTGTCAGCCTGACAACATAAGTTTGCTTCACTTCCATCATAAACAATCACCTTTTTTCTGTTAACAGTATTAGCCACCTATTCTTTCTGTCAATTGTTTTCCCTTCCCCCAGGACTGTTTTCCTTCTATTAAGAAGTGTTTCCCTGTAGCAACACCTAATGTATCTTCCATCTACCAACATTAATATATCCCACTCAATGCTCGTTTCCATCTGCCAATGTATATACTCTATCCACCAATATCTTTTACCTCTCCAAACACCTTTTCCCCTCTATAAAAACCCAATTTTCATTGGCTAACAGGTTTTTGCTGGCACAACACACACTGTGCTATCAAATTACCTTGAAGTACTGTATATAGTGTAAGTAGTGCTCATTCTAATCATGAAACACAAACTATATCAAAGATGAGGTTAATGACTAATTGACCTGGTTTTCTTCAAGGCCCCATGACCTTTCATTTCTCTATAAGAGTAACACACACATTAGACGAATTTGGGCCATGTTTAGCAACATGTCAAAAACATGTTGCAGACATGTTTGAGACATTCCAATCATAAGTGCGACATTTAAAAAATATCACAAATATGTTTGCAATATGTCAGAATGTCACAAATGTTAATATGAGAAAAATGATGCAAGCATGTTTGAGACATCAGTAACACTCAAACACACGATAATTACAGTATGTTACAGATTGAAAGAAACATGTTAGAAATTTCTCTCAAATTCATTCATGACATGTCAGAAACTTGTAATTAACATGTTGAAAACTCGTAAAAAACAGACTATGAAAGCCAAGAGAATTATGGTACAGGTCATTTACAGCAATGCTGCAGGCCAATAACAGCAGGTTCTGTAGGTTAGCACAATGATATTGTAGTTCAACATGATGACTCTACAGTTCAACATGATGACACTGTAGGTCAACAAGATGGCACTGTAGGTCAACATGATGGCACTGTACGTCAACATGATGGCACTAAGTCAACACAACAACACCGCGGGACAGAGAGACCAGCTCCACCAGTACTGTAATCTGTTTTCTGCAGATATGGATGCAAAACAGTGCAGAAAAAGCCGTATAGCACTTATTGCAAGAAGTTAGCAGTACTCCAGGAATTTATAGCATGCTGTAAGTGCATCATTACTGTAGGTCAACACAGCACTGTTAACAGCAGTATAGCAGTCTAGAGCTGCTGCTGACAGGAGAGTAATGCTGCATTTAAGTATAGCATTATTGCAGGTAATATATTGATTTGAAGTATTCATGCATTTGTCTAACTGCACCAGACATTGTAAATGGCTTTTTGCTATCGATGATATATTTCTACAATTATCTTCATTATCAATCATATTTTCAATCCCCTCCTGTGTTGTGAGCTGATAACTAAACTAACTCTGTCACTTGTCAGCAACAGGCAGATGGTGCTCTCAAAACAATGCAGATTTCCATTGGTCCAAACTTGTACTTTTCATAAAAAAAATATATGTTTAAAGTCCGGAATTGTTATTTTTTTAAAGTAGACTTTGATGTGTCATCAGCTCACAACAATGAAGAGGTTTGGAAATGTGGTTATATCCTTCTAGACATGTAAACTGGGCGGGGTGTGTTGGGACTGTGACCACCCAACACACATCCGGCAGCTCTCAGTGCACCAACACCGCGGCCTCAACACCACTAACACACTTACAGCTGACATATAATCCTAGCCTAGGATGAACACTTGAACAAAGATATACATCTTATTCATGTTATAAATTTTCTGTATCATGTACAGCAATTATTTATAATCTCGGTTACATCTACCTGTGTAACATATTCGGGATAATGTACAGGGCGCTTGGAGAGTCACTACGTGCACAAACTCAAGCAATGGGACACATCAGTTATTGTTTTGCTCACTCTCATACAGATGACGGGTGTAGCTGCCCCATTCATTTATTTACTTATTTATAGTCACTGAATACACAAGTTATATAGTTTGTGAGGCGAGACAGTGTCTGGGTTCTGAGGTCAGTGTGGCAGGGGGCAATGAAGGGTAGAGTCTGGAGAGTGCCATCCTTGTGAGGCTTCCCAAAACTTCTCACTTCCCTCGCTGCTTCTCTGGCCCCCAACTTCATCTGAGGTTCAGGCATTGGATTCTTTGAGGTTCGAGAAATACTCCATGAGCTGGTCATAGTCCATGGATGGTGGTAGGTTATCAAGGTGGTCCGTGACACTGAAGTTGTCTGGGAGGGCTGAGGAGAGCAGTGGGTTCTCCAGAATGGTGGCACGGCGCACCTGGGCGGCTCGACCTCGACACACACCTCGCAGTCGCACAAAGTCATCAGCATTAACTTCTACGAATTTAGGATCACTCATTTCTTTCTCTTCATGACTCTGGTGTTGATGGGGGAACTGCTGTATGTGTGAGGGGTGCAGAAGCTGCTGCTGGGTGTATGCCTGTTGCAACTGGCTCAAGGTAGCCCCTTCGTGCCCACTCGCCCCCTGCCTGTCCGAGTACCCATCCTCCATGGGGTTGTTGATGACGTTGACGCCATGGGGAGGCACCGGGGGTGGGTTGGAGTCATCGTGGTGAGGGTCATGGCCGGCCATATTGGCACTGACCCCAATGTTACGATGAGGAGGAATAGGGGGACGCTCTTCCTCACTGCTGGAAGCAGCTGCGTCATCACTTAGATTGTTGAAAGTTACTCGGCGGGTATTGCGGGAAGGACGAGTGAAAGTATTGGAGCCAGTCAGGCGAGAAGAGTGGGTTGTTTGGGTGGTCTCGCTCTCCTCCTCAGCTGTGGGGTTGGTGGTAATGTTGATGGGGGCAGGGCTACGATCATACCCACGGGACAGACGTTGGAGATCCTGCCAGGTGCTCTGCTGCTGTTGCTGTAGTTGCTGTTGCTGCTGTTGTTGCTCTTGGCTATTGCCATTCAGGTCACTGAGAGGTACCATACCAGTTGAAGCTGACTGTGAGGGAGGAGACAGTCCCATCCCAGAGGCCCTCTCCAAAGTAGCTCTCCCCAGCCACACCCAATCGTGAGCATTGGTGACGGAGTCGTGGTGGTTCTGGTGGGAGGAGCGGCGAGTGTGGTGAGATGGTGGCAACATGGGTTTACCTCCACGAACACTCCAAGTATACACCACATAGGAGGCAGCAAACACCACAATGGCAGCACCAAACACTGCCAGGAGTACATACATGCCCACCTCTAAAGGGGTGACACCGTTGGGTCGAGGTGGATGGTGGCGGGAGTGGAGTGTTGGCATCTGTGGCTGCTCTGCCATCAGCAAATGATTCTTAAGTGGGGCAGCAGCATCTGCATGCGGCAGCTCAGACACATGAACCTGGAGGAGACAAAACACTCACTACACATGACACATACCACCAAGGGCCATCTTTATCACCACAACTACATCTTCATCAATGTCTTATTTCCATTTTCTATGCTTGTTTGGGTTAGCTGTGATTACCTGTTCGTAGCACTCCATGCTACATGGACTGTTACAGTTTCTCTCGTTCGGTTATTAACTCTAATGTGACTTCTTACAACCTTCCCAATGTCATTCCTGGCCTACCCCTGGCTCTCTTCCCCTCCACATTTAGACTCCTGCACCTCTTGTCTCATCCATTCTCTCCACATGCCCAAACCATATCAGCTTACATTTACACAGAACTTTGCCAATATTGTACTGTACTCTCAATATCCAGCTGTACTCTTAGCTGTGATCAGACCCCCCCTGTCTCTCAGTGTTCCTCATCATTCTCACTTCATCTTGCCCAAGTCTGCGTATGTCATATTCTTTAACTATCCATTTTTCACTGTCATATAAATTCATTTAATGTTCATAAACTTAGGCTTCTTCCACACGATCATTTTTTTGACGTGCAACATGTAAATCAATGGAGTTCAATGGGACCTTTCACATGGTCATCCATTGTACTCTATTGATTTCTAAGTTACATGACAGAGACAAAAAAACATAGATTTCCACAGACTTTTTTTTCCTTTACCCGCGAACAGAACACATTTAGTTATGCTAGATTATTAGTACAATTTTGACACCATCAATTAATAAAAAATTACATTTAACTTGTCAGACATGTTCTTGACTTCTAAATTAAGGGGGAAATGAACATGAAAATATTTGAAAATCTGAATACCACATTGATTACTGTACTCTGTCTCCTACCTGTTTAACCTTGGGACCCACCACATCCAGAGCAACAAATCATAAACACTGAGAAAGGCCTAACAATCTTTATCATTTTCAAAGGGTTAAAAGTGGATCAATGAATCATTTAAAGAGTATCCGACCTATGATAATAAGTAACGGCAAGGATTTTTAATTTGAAAAATAAAATGTATCTTGACATGAACACTTTGCTTGTATGAAAGTAAGGGTCATAGCATAGAAGATATTTACAGTGACTTTTCATATGCTGCCACATACCCAACGCATACAGCACCTACTAATCATCACATCATACCTTTCATAAACTACTACGAACCTAACAAATATACTACATACCTACCATACTACCACACACTAACACAAACAAAACATATACAGCATTTATGAAACAATACCTCATACCTTTCACATATACTGCTACATACCTCCCAAACATACTACATACAGTACCTACAATACTACCACATACAGTAATTCCCCATTCATTACCACATACGAATGCATAACCTACCGACTACCATGTAAATACCAATACTACCACACTTTAACTCAATACTGTACGACCACACACCCACTAAATAATGCCACATAACTACCACATTTTGCCAAACAATGTACTGTACTATAGCGTATTTGGTTCATCTTCAGGAACTACTAGTGATTTCACATTTCAGTCAAATTTTCAGTAGTCAAAACGATTTATTCTGTAGTAGTACCTCCAATGAAAAAAGGACTTACGATGCCATATCACAAACAATGTGTGGATATCTATTGAAAATCTGGTGGGTTTTACACAGGCAGTCATTAACATATACGGTAGTGATCTGTTAGTGTCCCAAAAACTGAAGTTGGAAGTGAGGGAATTGCTGAAGGAACATATAGAAACTTGAAATATAGGCTCTACTAGAGAGTATTAATAATCAAAGAAAGGTAAGTCTAAAAGAAGAGGAAATAATCACAATGGGCGGATAATTAGACAATAAAAGATGGGAGTAAATAGTTTTTGACATATCAATCTAAAGGAAAGTAAATAGTAAAAAGAAGAAAAAATCACAGTAAACAGAGAAGATACAGTATATCATACTGTAGATGACAGAACAGAGAGAGAGAGAAAATATATATTAACCCTTTCGCTGCGTTTCCGTTGAAATCATTAAAGTCTTCAATGCTTGAGAAGCTATTAACCTGACATAAAGCATGGGATAAAATGGAAGACAGACTAGCAGACAATGTGGATCACTCAACAATTCTCAGGGAATATAATAAGTGTCAATTGAGGCATTAAAAGGGTAACACACAGAAGGAATAGAATTCAGAAAGAAAAAATAATAATAAGTACAAAGAGTATAGAACCCATAGAAAGAATATACAAAGAAAAATAAATAGCAAAGGGCAAAAAGCTAAAAACTAAACCACAGAGGTTAAGTGTTAACCTTGAGCTTGTGGTGGGTAGGGTCATCCGGGTGGGTGTGGTGTGGCTGTAGGTCATTGTCGAGGGCAGGCAGTGGCGGCGGGGTGGTGCCCAGATCTATCTTGACATGCACCTTGGTGTTGGCCAGCGATGCTCGCCTATGCTCACATTCCTCAGTCACTTCCAAGCTCACCTGCAGAGACCATATGGTGTCAGTGATGGTCTAGGAGGTACAGTACAGTATCAAGGGTTGGTGAGGGTTGCTGGGATTGTTAAAGGTAATAAATAAAAAATTTAGTTGGTCAGAATCATTGAAAACTAATAGGGGAATGTTAAAGATTGTTGGGAATTATTTGAGAATGGAAAAAAAACATGTTTTTAGGAATCAGCAAATACTGCTTGGGAGGGTGAGGAGTTGGTGAACTTGGTGTCAAGAGTTTGGATGGGGATGATAATTTGAGGGATGGCAGTTTTTAGGGAGTTGGTGAATATTAATTGTGAGTTGTGCAGCTTACTAGGGGGATGTTGGAAGCAGTTACTGTCAGTTGAATATAATAATTACAGTACAGTACATCTAACATTTCTATCAAAAGAAACATCATACAGGTATCCCCCTATTGACGATAGGGTTGCCTTCCTGGATACCCTAACCTTTACAAAGTATTAAATGTAACCTCAAACTATGAACACTGAGGTTAATTGAAGCTCTTGCTGATGGTAAAAATAAATTTCTGAATATCAATAGAACTGATGGCTGGTCTGTATTAGCACTGTACCACTCAGCACATTTTGTTTTGTTTGGTGTGCAGTTGGAACAGTCTCAACACTACTTTTCTCTACATATCCTGAACATATGTGATGTTAAGTTCATGACTTAAATTTAGAAGCTTATGAAGCATTACATGCATGAGAAAATAGATAATGTTTAACAGATTAAGTATGGTACTCCCATCAGTTGGTGTATGGCAAATGAACGAAGTTTCATGTAAATAAAAGGGGACCTACTTCTTCAAATTTTGAGATGTCAATTTTAATCTCTGACCATAATTGAAAGAGGATGATGAACATAAATGTAACTATTCACCATCGCATAAGTAAGAACCTTTACAGGTACAAGAAACCTCACCTCCAGCAGGTCGCCGGCACCATGACCTATAGCAATGACTCTGGGCTGGGCAGTGCGGGGTGAAGGGGCAACAGCCACTACTCCGGGGTCAAGGGACCTGACTCTGAGAGTATAGTGTGAAGGGGGCACCTCCCTCAAGGGCATCACTACCCCATCACTCATCTCCACCCACACGTCCACCAGACCTTCCTGTGGAAAATATATACTGTACAGTGTGATAAAGTAATTCTAGGGCAGAGTGGAGATACAAGGAAAGATGTAAACTCTGATACAATTACAGTAAGATGGAATGAGTGGATATACAAGAAAAAATACCGTGAGATACAGTTACAATGATGCAATTTTATTTCAATAGCTGTACTATGGTTGAGGTTAATAGGAAAGTACTGTAAGATGTACAGTCCAGGCCAACCATGGAATTTCCAGCAATCACTGGTCCAGAACCTCTGATGGTCTGGACAGTTTTACAGAGGTGACATTTTAAATTTACATTGCATTTATGTTGAACAAAAGCTACCTGTAACATGCTCGCAGTAGGCTAACCTTACCCCGGGATGTGAATACCTAGACTGAATATGGGTGTATTCTCGTAAGTATAAATGTATAGCTACTTGAACTGTGTGAAGGAATGGATATTGTATATGTTTATGGGTGTACCTATACTTATATACAGTATACTTAGAAAGAGTGTGGGCAAGGGTGTATTCTTGTGGGTTTACAACTGTATGTGGGTATGAGTTTTCTAAAGGGTTTTATCCTGTGTGTAGGTGTGAGTATTATTAATCCTGTACCTGGATTATGCATGTTGGCATTTCATTTCCTTTATCATGAGTGTTTCTGTGTGGGTATAGGTGCAGTATACTGAACCTCTGAAGTTTGCAGGCATGACTGTACTATATTCTTTTAAATGTAAATGATGTAACTGATACTCAATGTATAGTTCTGTACATGGGGGGGGGGGTTATTTGATACTCAATTTAAGTGATCTTCTATGTACCTGATATCTGGTTTATATTGATATTGACAAATATGTTACCTGTACTTAATGTACACAATACTTTATGTACTGTACCTGATAATCAATGTACCTGATATTCAAACTACTAGATACTCGATACTTCATGTACATAATACTCATACAGTACTTGATGTATATTGGACTTTATATCCATGATACTTGACATAACCTGTTTCTTTTCACAGTGTGGGTATACATACATAATCCAATACTAGCCAGTGTGTGGGTGTATCTGATATTTAGCAGTGTTTGGGTTTATTTGATTCTTGAAGAGCCTCACATTTAATATATCTACTGTACCTGATACTTGGCAGTGAGTGTGGGGGTTACAGCAGTGATGGCAGAGTAGCCATCAGGGAGGTGTGAATCAGGCTGGAGAGACAGAGTAAGGCCAGAGATGACAGCTGCCCGAAGACGACTGACCCACACCTTGTCTGACCCAACCCGCACCTCCCGTGCCCCGATTACCCGGCCAGTGATAGGCGACAGTACCTGTGGAAGACAAATGGGTGAGTAACAGTACGAGCAGACAGTACAGTACAGGGGGTGCTGGTGGTAGAGTGGTACCGCTCTTGCCTTCGCAAGCGAGATGTCACGGGTTCGATTCCCGGGCCGGTGGAAGTTGTTTGGACATACTTCCTAGCCCCCATTAGTCCCTGTTCACCTAGCAGTAAAGTAGGTACCTGTTGTAAATCGAAAGTTGTGAATTCGTATTCAGGGACAAGTTGTTGGCGCTTCCAAAAACTTGATGACATAAACAATTGACTCTTCAGGCTTCTACGCCCTTAACTCATGAGACATAAAGGCAAGCATGAACTTAGCATGCTTCCCTGTTGGGCGCTGTGAACGCTTCTGCGCTTCACCTTACACAAGTGATTCACAGCCCGATTTACGCTTGTATGACCATCATTTGACTTCATTGTGGCTACATTTGGGTACATTTGGATTCATTTGGGTAATTAGTGGGACCGCCAAGATTCAATGTCACGAAGTGTAAATTGATGCACCTGGGAAATACCAAAGGTAAGGAGGTTTATCACATGTCCCAACGAGATGAAGAAACTGCATTAATAGGGATTGAATGCGAAAAGGACCTGGGTGTGTATGTTGAAAATGAACGGAAGTTCTCGGGCCATTGTGAGAAGAAGGTGAATCAAGCAACTAAACTAGTAGGTCTTATTAGAAGGTCGTTCATATGTTTGGACGGTCCATCCCTCATAACACTTCAAGATTGAGGTGCTTCCCCACCTGGAGTACTGTCACCCCATCTGGTCCCCGAGATATGCTCGAGACTCGGTTATCCAGTGCCTGCAACTGCATAGCTAATACTACAGACTAGCAAGGAGTGACTTAATTGAGGTGTATAAGCATCTGGGAGGACACTACTCAGTCAAGTGTCTATACCTGGAGCAGGCGGACGCTTACCCCACAAGGGTCACAGCTCAAGATAGAAGAAACCACAAATCCAGAAAACTGTGAGGGCAAACTTTTTCGGAGCGAGAATTGTGAACTCTTGGAACAACCTGCCGGAGAGTATTGTGACGGTATCGAGTGTGAGCTCTTTCAAGACCAGACTTAACCAACACTAAAGAAGGTTCAGATACATTCAGAAGCCAGTGCATGCCCAGTACTCGCCAACAGTGCGTAACAGATATGACAGACCGCCCAAGCGGCTAACGAGCCGGTCAGTGGCGAAGAGGTTAAAAGTACGTAGAAGTAAATATCTCGCTTACATGTAGTTTGCTATAGAAATACCATAAGGAAAAGTGACAGAGATGGGTGAGCAACTGTTCATTTGCAAATATCTTTTAAGAGTCCACTTGTAAGATATCACCAGAACATACATAAGAAAATGTTAATTATCATCTTTATTTGTAATTTATGATGGAAATGGCATAGAAAAAACATGATTCAGATTGTTGATTTCCACCTATAGCAACTTATTATTTTTTCGAAAGCTTTTGTAAAATAAAACCTTAATCAATTGCAGGTAGATTCTCTTTACAGACATCATGGCTTGTACTTTAATTTCTGTACCACCTACAGTATATCTCAATACTAAACCAAATCATGAGGCTAACCTGGACCTCGGTGCGGCCAGGGGCTCGACCCATGAGTGTGGTGTGGTCCAGTATAGCCACAGAGGTGTCGGCCACACGCAGCAGGTGAGCCACTAACTCAGTCACTCGCACTTGAGCTCTTCGGGACAACAAGTAAGACTGACGCCCACTGTTGTCGTCTACAGCTACAAACCTCCCGTACACCTGTAGACGAAAAGGTTTATTTATCTAATAATATACTAATTTTTGTCAGTCAGACGAAGCCAATTTATCATTAAAGTACTATGTGAATATTCACATACAATTTTCTTAAAGCTAATGGAAATACTGTATATATTTTACCTGAGTTATTCAATGATGAAAATGAACAGGTTGTTCACTTCAACTTGTTTACCAGTAGGTATTAATTGTGCAGTAACTTATTTTATTGTGATATAATGTGCAGTTATTCAAGGTATCATAACTGGGAACCTAAATTAATACATCAAATATATTAAATTATTAAAATTTTGCATCTGTTACTTAACGCCTATAATCTAAACTGGTTCCATGTCACATACACCGGCAACAGGTATGCACTGCTCAGAGAATGCAGATGACTAATTGGTTATTAAGAGACATATGGGAAAATATCATGAAGGCAAACATATTATCTTTAGTACAATTAATATGAAATATAATCAAATTAATGCGCTCATTTATAAAAATTGTCTTGAAAAGTACTTATTTTTAAGATGAATTCACAGAATCAATTACAGTAGAAGTGTTTATATAGGATATAACTTTAATTCCTTTAAGCTAGGGAGTCTTCTCTATCACACACCTGTACAGGAGTCTGCTGGTAGCGCACTGAGCAGAAGGGCGTGACAGCATTGTCTTCGTGGCGTAGCGTTAAATCTTGCTGGACGGCAGCAGGGTGAAGCTTGACGGCATAGGTAGCAGTTGTGGCAGGGTCTGGGGAGCGCCACCCCCTCACCTGGGAGAGCTTGGTGTCCCCCACATGCACGGTGAGAGGGAGCTCAGGCATCCACACCGTGAAGGATGCAGATCCTGTGAGGATGTCGTAGCGAGCCACCACAGTGGCGTTGTGGCTCCCACGGACCTCTGACCCATCCAGATACACTGAAGTACACGACGCTGATACCTGTCGGGGTGGTCGTGGTTAATGAGGTACCAGCTGAGTGGCATAGCTATGTACAGTCAACAACAATAAATTCTGCTCCTTCATGGTGTTATACAATATGACACACCGAACCAAGAATTCTGAAAATACTCATTTACGAGGGTGATTCCTGTTAATTTCACTGTATTAACTATAAGTGATATAAAAAAATCACCATACTGGCTATACAATGCATCACACAACCAGAAATACCAACCTTACCAAATTAACATGGCCTCAGTCAGTGATCGTTGCAGAGGGTGTAGAATATTTTTTTGCTGACTGTATACACATTACGGTATATATCTATCTATCCATTAATATAAACCAATGTACACGGTGCTGACATCTATTAAACTGTCTCAACAGAGGTCATCAATTATACTCCATCCCTAACTAAATTGGGAGAAACAAGCGCACTAAAAATAGAAAGGGAGACGGCGAGAAATTTGTGACACCAAAACCACAACAAAAGAAGAATCAAGATACTAGAAGAGTGGCTCAATAAGCAGAGGAATACTGTACATGAATAACAAATAAATGGTGAATAAAACTACCCATTCACAGTTTATACATATTCATAAGCAAACATTCTATCAAATTGCCTACAGTACTTAAGGACTTGTCATACAATAAAATATCTTGTATAGGCCTAAGGCAAAATAAACTAATAATCTTCCGAGGATAAAGTGTATCTATTCTTTGATTTATTTCATGGTTATCTATCTATCTATCCCTTGTACGCATCCTCAAACACTATTCACTTTACATATTCCTAAACATTCATAAGTTACTATCTGGTCCAACCCAATTTTTATAGTCTCTCTCTCTCTCTCTCTCTCTCTCTCTCTCTCTCTCTCTCTCTCTCTCTCTCTCTCGTATCGTAAATTTATACGAGACAATAAACTTCTAGGTATTGAGATTAAAACCTTACTAACTTACTTTTAGATTCAATCCAATTTCTATGCTCTCTCTCTCTCTCTCTCTCTCTCTCTCTCTCTCTCTCTCTCTCTCACACACACACACACACACACACACACACACACACACACACACACGCAAAGAAGCAAAAAAATCGGACACTAAGACAACAAAAACTCTGAAGTTCTACCTTGAGGGCGGCCTCGTCGGTGCAGTTGCAGGAGGACTGGAGGGTGACGTCAGCCACCTTACCTGCCTGAGACACAATCAGCACCTTCATGGCTCGGGACACCTGACGCCCCGTAAGTACCGCTGTGTTCACCACCGACCAGCTCTGTCAGGGGTAGAGGAGGTGGTTAGTGGGGTGAGGGATAATGCTGAGGGATAAAGTGAGGGATAAGGGGTGAAGCATAAGGGATAACGGGGGCGGGATAAGGGATAAGTGGTGAAAGAGTGAAGAGTAAGTAACAGGAGACATCTGCTTACATAATAATAGAGATGTCAAGAGATATCCTAAAACTTATAAATGACATCAAGCTCCGCCCACACACCCCATGACGTCACCAAGGTCGCCCACACACTCCATAACATCCCAAATAACGTCACCAGAAGCCGCCCACACAAGACACGTGTTCTATGACAAAAATTCCAGTTCCTGTATTAGTGTTAAAAGGTCAGAAGTGAAGCCCTGTCAATACCCCCCCACACACACACGTACAGGATGCTAACATGTATGTATGCTTGAGTATTGGTGCACATAAGCATACTGTATACGTACACAAAAATGTGAATCTATGTACACCCACTAAAAACTTATTCGGCACCCGTGTCATATTCGTGTGTGTGTGTGTGTGTGACTCTAAGTGCATTTATGAACGTATTTTTTCATTATTTTATAAGTTTAGACGTACACGACACTGACATGGTAGCTTACTAAACTCAAAGTTCAGTTGAAATAAAAGTAATTTTTTATAAACATGAAAAACATACTCAAGCATAATATATATAATAAAACAGGAACAGGATACAATTACCTGTAGAAGTATAACTGTACTGTGTATAGAGCCGTGCCGAGCGGGGTACGGGGCCCGGGGCACGTCATCAGAGCGGGCACCCTTGGGGTCCTTTGCTACACTACAACCCATCACCCCCACCAACAAAACCAGTGCATTACCACCACCAGTGCACCACTACCACCAGTGCACCACAACCACCAATACACCACCACCAGTGCATCACCACCACCAATACACCACTACCAATCACCACCACCACACCACTACCACCAATACACCACCAGTGCATCACCACCACCAATACCACCAGTGCCACCAGTGCACCACTACCACCAGTGAATCACCACCACCAATACACTACCACCAGTGCACCACTACCACCAGTGCATCACCACCACCAATACACCACCACCAGTGCACCACTACCACCAATACACTACCACCAGTGCACCCTCACCAATACACCACAACACAAAGTAACCCTTCACTTTATTGCTGCAAAAACTGTGTAATTGGACACCGCAGCGTTGTACAGCGAGCTCTGGCTGTGTACACAGGCACAACACACACCTCGCGTGCTGGGAGTTAAAAGTGCAGCAAAAAGTATTATTGTTTCTTGTTCGTAAGTTGACAGACACACAAACGATGTGTGCCATCATTCTTGGGTGGAAAATTTGCAAATGAACGAACCTTTAAATTGGCATGATTTAATTATCATTTTCTTTAATAGATTTAGGCTTTTGATACAAATATTTTTTCGTTGTAACTGGTACAGAGTAGAATGATTCTTTCAGGTTAGGTTGTGGCGTTAGGGTAATATTTTATTTGTGAATGCCAGCGGCGTTTGTAGGGGGAAATTGTGATGGTAACATTTTTATATGACTGCGACGAGCTTTTTTTGGTGGGGGGGAGGGGGCACAACGTGGTTCTTTCTCGTGAGCCTGACAACAAACTTTACCCTTATGCGACACTACAAACTTAATCATATTAAAACAATGACTTGGGTGGCACAAGAATATAAAAGATTACTTTGTCTTTTGAAAAATTTTGAAAAATACAGGAACACCCATTTTCCTATCAACATGACCAGCCAACACGAGAGATTAAATGAAATCTGCAATTCTTTCTGTTGCCATTATTGTCAATGTTAAATCACTGTTACCACTCCCATTATCACAAATGGATCAAATGAATGACTGGTCGCTACAAACGTATTGGCTAAAGCACAGTTACTCAGCAGAAAAACCTGAATATTTTAACACACACGACCGAATACAGATGGAGTTCATGTCAATCACCAAGATACAAAAATGCCTTCATCTCGGGGTAGATAAATCATAAAGTAACCCAACGACTGCCTCTACCATCTACAGCACTCTACTTGCTAAGGCGTTGAGCGAGTTTTTCTTTCTTCTCACTCTTGTTTCCATCATTCCCATCTCAACTCTCGCGGGTGTCTTACTGTCCTACACCATACACTTGTACCCTCGTTGTCCAAACCCTCGTAAACATTGGCAATAAACATGTTTTTTCTTCAGTTACTACACTCGTACACTGTAGGAGAATGGGGGAAGGGAGGGGGTCATGTTTATAAATACATATGAAAGTGGGTTCCCATAAGTGTAGATATAGCACACTAAAGCCTTCAGTTACTACTATTACTACTACTACTAAAGTAATCTCAAACCACTGTTACCATGATAGTCTAAGATAAAACACGCTATCATACATATTAACAAGATAAGTCTAATTCCTCGACCAAACCCTCGTCGCCATCACCACCATGAGTATAGATACAGTTTAGTTTGGTAAGTCTCTGTCCTGCATCTAACATACGAGCCGCCAGATTCTATTCATATACAAATAAGGCTTTTGGCTACGGCAAGACACAACGTTGTAGCGGGCTTAGTGTTGCAAAGACTCGCGTTACAGAAATTAATTGCAGACTAGTGTTGCAGATATTAAGTGTTACAGATATTATTGTGGCAGATATTAGTGTTACAGAAACTAATGTTCGTGATTAGTGTTGCAGAAACTAGTGTTGAAGAGATTTGTGTTGCAGAGACGAGTGTTACTTCATCCTCAATAAAACCGAGATCGGATTCCAACATCCGTAACCCTATCAATAATATAGACGTAAAGCTACTTGTAACACTATCTGTAACACACCTGTAACATTCCTTGCAACACACCTGTAACAATCCCTGCAACACGTATAACGCACCAACTCAGCATTCTCTTCCAACAGTCCTCATCAATCTTTATCATCCTCTCCTTTTTTCTGTTATCTCTCTTCTTCCCCTTTCTCCTCATCTCTTACTACTTCTCTAACATTCTCATCGATTCTGTTTGTCTTGCAATCACTATTAATGTTTTTATTTCATATTTTCCTTACTTCAGTGTCTGGCTCTCTCGTTTTTATTTTTATTATTTGTGTTTTGCCTTCTCTATTTGCCGTTCTTCCTTTCTTTTTATCCATCTTTCTTTCCAGTCCAATCACATTTTATTCTCTCTTTCACCCCTCCTTCCCTCCCTCCCACTTCTGCTCTCCTCTCTCTTTCCTCCTCCTCTCTTTCTCCCTCTTCTACCTTTCCTCCCTACCCTTCTCCCTCACCTTGGCTATGGGTAGGACGGCCTGGATGTCGTCCTTGAGGATGGTGAGCCGCGTGGACATCCTGCGGGAGTCGGCGCCGGAGAAGGTCTCGCGGTGGTGGGCGTCCATTAGGTAGCGCAGTGACCAGGTGACTCTCGCCTCCCCAGCACCCACGTGTTCCGGCACCTCCAGCACCCAAGACAAGACCTCGTGTAACCTGCAAGGAGGAGAGTAGCACGTTAATGACGATGAGAGAGAGAGACGCATTAAAGAGAAAGAAGAGCATCAGTTCCGAGGGACAAATATCACATAATAATCCCTAGTTACCAACTCATTACTAATTGGTTACCAGGGCAACAGATGGCGGTGGTGGCAGCCATCATATTACCTCATTCATTACTTTCTTGAGTCTTATTAAAAAAGAGTCTTGTTTTTAACACTTCCCTGGCACTAAAACTTACGAGATTAAAACATTTTTAAGACGGGGATAAAGGTAATAATGCATGTATGAAACAATTTCAACACTTTATAAGACACAACACAGGAGCAGTATAGGATAACGAGTCTGAAATGTTACTATGTTACTACAGACGAAAACAACAAAATAGCGATCATCAGTAGACTTGGCTGTGTCAGGTAGGCATTGTTCGTAATTTTGACAGCATATATAACGAGACGTATCAATAACACCCACGCGGGGAAAAAAATATATCAGCTAGGTCAGTGAAACATAAAAATAACTATTCACAGTAAAAAAAAAAACTCCCACATATTGTAATTTGAAGCTGAAAAGTATTATTATTACTACATACGTCATAAAAGAAATATTCTACTTCCTCTTCACAACAGTCACCATAACGCATAATAGCATCACTACTCCTCAGAATTACAGGAAATTTAACAGAAAAAACAAAATTCACTCTAAAATATTCACCCACGACAAGTATGAATAATTAGTGAATAAAATGACTGAAATAACAACAACCAAACGAAAATTAAGTCCATGAATAATAATATAAAACAAATAAAAAAATTCAAATAGGTAACGAAACTAATACAGGAAACACATAAAATATAATTAAGAAAATATATAATAATAGAAAATTGTAGAGAATAGTGGAGAAATGGAGAAAAATTAAAACAGGAAGCGATAAATCAAGAGGATTAGACCTGGTATGCTTCCGACAGAGACAAAGTGAGGACATTTCCTACGTGTAGTGCTAATCAGGTGCTCGTGTCCAATACTGCCCCCTCCCCTCCCCTCCCCCCCCCACCACCACCATCACCACTATTCTCACACCTACATACGATAAAAATTTTCCCTTAAGTGGAGACACAGGAACTGACTCATTTACACACGCAATAACACTTCAACTTACGATACGCAATTAGATTCTAAAATGTTCGTATGTTAGGATATTCTGAATGTATAAACAAGAAAGGTTGTTTTGGAAGAAGGAAGAACTACGTCAGACAAGATTCATGAGAGCTAAATCCGGATTAAGCCAACGTTGATTATAACGATGTGAGAACGTAAACAATTATATCTGTAAGACTGCAGCAGAAAGATGAATACCTCCCAGCACGTAAAATATAGAAAGTAATAATAATAAATAAAACATAAGAAAAATATACATACAACACATAATACGGAAGAAAATCACGATCACACACCAAACACAAACACTCAGGCGTCAGAATTTATCAATACACACACATACGGCAAAACATATCCACTCACATACACCCAGGCATCAAGAGTAATTAATACACACTCAACACTACACACATAATCAGTCAAGTATCAACATTAATTATCACACACACAACATAACAAACACAAACATGTAAACAGACATAAACAAATACACGAGTCAGTAAACACTATAACAAGGTAACAATGTTTACTTGTACACCATCATGGCTGATCCATTATTGAAAAACATAAAAAAAGATGGTAAAAAACTTACACACTTTGACTGAAAATTGTAAATACTATTATTCAATTATTCAGTTATTTAATCTTAGAAAAAAAATATTTATCCTAATTAAATATTAATCATATGCTAAAAATTTTGATGTTTTTTTTCGGTAAGTATTATTGTGATGTTCATTTGGTAGCATATATTTTTCTTTCATCGTGCAGTGTGAGGCTGCGGGAGGTGTGCACACAGACCCTCATCTAACACCCACTGGGGTCGCAGGGGGCTAAGAGGAAGATCCAGGTGGGTGTCATTGAGGGTCGCAGGTAAGGAAGCCAGCCTGGGAAGCTCTCAGGCATAACCTTCATCTTCAATACATATGTGTGTGTGTGTGTGTGTGTGTGTGTGTGTGTGTGTGTGTGTGTGTGTGTGTGTGTGTGTGTGTGTGTGTGTTGGTTCAGTCGTCAGTTTTGTAAACATTAGGTGTAAAAAAGTCGAGGGTTTGTACTGCACCAGTGTTATTGTTCTTCAGCGTCCCCCTGCTAACGTTAATCACCCTCGCTCCTCCTCCCTTTCCCTTTCACAATAACACCCTTCTCCCTCCTTCCCTCCACAACACCACCCATCCACACTCTAACCATCACACCTGACCTCCCATCCCCTTCATACATCATTCTGCTCCTCCACTACCTCCATAACCAACACATAATCCCCCTCCTCCACTGCCACTTCTACACCTCCTCCCTCCTACCCCACTCCTCATTACCCCTCACCCCCCATCCTCTCTACCACACCCAGTTCATCAGTCGCACGCAACAAGAAAATTGGATTAATTTATCTCGGAGAGTGATGCTGCCCTCCATCCCCCTGCACCCACATGCTTCCACGTCCTGGGAGATGTTATGATGACTGCGCCCACACGCCCTCTTGTTGCTGTAAATGTCTCCACGCCTACACACGCACGCCCCCTTGATATACTGTTGCCCACACACCGTTTTGATGTTATGATGATGACCCCACGCCTACACGCCCTCTCGCTGCTCTACCCACGCGTCGTAATGTTCACCCAAACGCTTAGCTGTTCACCCACACGCCCAACTGTACACCTACACGCCCTTCTGTACACACACACGCCCAACTGTACACCTACACGCCCTTCTGTACTCACACACGCCCAACTGTACACACACACACACACCATCCTGTTTGACTCCCTTAATTGCCAACACCGTTTTCCAGGTAAATCTAATTAGAAACGACCTTACGAGGTATCCTTCATAATCCTGCACCTTATGAGTTCGTAGCTTCTTCCCAGAATCCTTTATTAGAGGTCCTTGGAAGGAACCTTTCTTCTCACCCAAGTATTTATTCTTCTCCTGCTTTATCGTGTCATTATTATTACAGTAATATCTTAATTTTTATTACTTTTTTGCTATTATTATTATTATTATTATTATTATTATTATTATCATTATTATTATTATTATTATTATTAATTATTATTATTATTATTATCATTATTATTATTATTATTATTATTATTATTATTATTATTATTATTATTATTATTATTATTATTATTATTATTATTATTATTATTATTATTAATATTATTATTATTATTATTATTATTATTATTATTATTAGTATTATTATTATCATTATTATTATTATTATTATTATTATTATTATTATTATTATTATTATTATTATTATTATATTATTATTATCGTGGTTGTCGTTCACCGTCAACATGGGTACAGAGTTCCATGTTAAAGTGTTTTGTGAAAAAGTCTATTTTTGGCATCGCTCCGAATTTTAATTCTAAACTTTCAACTAATAATGTTATGGTACTAAACATTACTCTGGATAAAAAAAGTTATTGCTTATTTACTAAGTAATATATATTTTATATACATTGTAGAAGTTAAAGTTGTTTTTTATCTTCTGGAAGACCTAGAAAAAACCTTAGAAAATTCTGGTCCTCCTTTTATTTAATTATTTATTTTGGTTATTAAACGTGATTGTTTTTCATTGTGCAATTTCTTTCCTGAAAATGAATATCGTGTTTAAGAGTAACAACCCGGACGAAATAACGCGTCTATAACTCAGCGTCTCAGTAACTATATTACATGATAACGAGGAACACACAGGAGAGTGGTAGAGCCTCACCTGTAGCCTCTACCAGCAAGAGGAACAACGACGAGTCTCATATAACCAAGTACCCATAATGCCTCAGATCAGGGTCACACAGAGATCATCCCCGAGTATTCTGACCTTCTCACCTGTGTATTAATTCAGATCTACTAAATATAAGACAAGGTAATCGTAATAGACCTTTTAAAAGCTATATCACCAGTATCAGAAAAGATGATGTAATGAACAGACCAACTCAGATATATCCAATCTCTCTCTCTCTCTCTCTCTCTCTCTCTCTCTCTCTCTCTCTCTCTCGGTGCGGTTCTATAATTTGCATTTTCAATACATAAATTTTGTATTCAACTCCATCTATATTCAGAAAATATGACATATAATTTGAAATAACATATTAAGAATTTAATTCCAATGTGATATGGTGCAAATTATTACTTGTGTTCACTTTTCGAGCGAGAGGAGAAGAGAGTAGAGAGAGAGAGAGAGAAAGAGAGAGAGAGAGAGAAGAACTTCACCATACCCCACAACCAACTCAAACCAACAAAAATCATGACACATTTCTCTCAGCGGAACTTCAGACAAAAACTTCCTCTATCTCAAGGTGCCTCAAGGGCGTGTTCAGGGGCAGGCGGGACCTGAGCGTTACGTCTCCTGGCACCTGACACTTACCAGGTTGTCGATAAACATCATAAAATTGTTGTTCTTGAACGAGGATTTCCAAATAAGCGAGATGCAGAGAGAGAGAGAGAGAGAGAGACAGAGAGAGAGAGACGGACGGACAGACACAACCATTTTATTCATTTACAACCCAAATTTTATCAAGATTCAGCAGACAAGAGGTATATAAACTTTCTCCCTTGAGCCAAGCAATCTCGCTCGACCACGGGACCCAGGCCTTAGTGGCTTTGTCTGTCCTATTTCACCAAGCAATATTACTCCTCCATTCACGCCTCTGCCAGCGTCCTGGGGGAAAAAATATCGTACCTATTATTCCAGCATACTTTTTTTTTCTTCTTTTCTTTTTGGAATTTGGTTTAGTTTACTTTAACTCCTTGTCACGTAAAGGACTGTTAAGGGGTTTATTTGGGTTTAGTTTTTTATTTGATTTTTTTGTTTTAAATTGGTTTTGAGTTAGT